TGAGAAGATTTTAGCCCAGATATGGGTGAATATTTTCATTTCAATGGCATTTATTTATTTTTAAAATTTATTTATTTATTTATTTATGGCTGGGTTGGGTCTTCGTTTCTGTGCGAGGGCTTTCTCTAGTTGTGGCGAGCAGGGGCCACTCTTCATCGCGGTGCGTGTGCCTGTCACTGTCACGACCTCTCTTGTTGTGGAGCACAAGCTCCAGATGCGCAGGCTCAGTAATTGTGGCACACGGGCCTAGTTGCTCCGCGGCATGTGGGATCTTCCCAGACCAGGGCTCGAACCTGTGTCCCCTGCATCGGCAGGCAGATTCTCAACCACTGTGCCACCAGGGAAGCCCAGCATATATTTATTTTAACACATATTTAAAAGATATATAACTAGCACACCTGTGAGTTCTTGAGTATTTTAGGAAAAGACTAAAGTCATTTAAGTGAAAACCAAAAAAGAAAGCGTGTAATTTAAAGAAAACTAATAATAGTGAAAATTGTGAGGCTGATGCCTAAACACTGAAGTTTGCTGAACAGATTCAAAGCAAGCATTAAATTTTTGTAGTGTTACTAGAAGCAGTACGCAGATGCTGGAGTCTTGTTTGGAACAAATATTCAGGACTTGGGGGAAGGCTCAGGGACTGTGGATGTGCTTGGAAGGAAGCCTTAAGGGCACAGCCAGTCTTTTTGGTTGTGGGGAACACTTGGCTCCAGGATCTTTCTAGAACAAATCTCTGTGAGTCCATCAGTGAAGACCTCCAGCAGGCAGTGACGTCTGTTCAGGAGAGCAGACCTTCTCTCAGACTGAGCCTGGATCTCAGAGGGAAGCTGATAGCTCCAAAAGCCTTCCCGTCTGCCCACCTGCCGGGGATGTCATTGCCTGGCCCTTGGAGAACCTTCCACCAGGGCTATCACACCTCACAGTGCATCAGAGTGGAGCCCAAACTAACAGGTGTACCTTCTACTCACCACCTGGGCATACAGGCTGGCATGTGAGTCCACTGCATCTCCTTCAGGATAAAGACAACAAGGGGAACGGCCTCTTGTCTTTAATCACTTTTCTGAGTCTTTGCTGATAGGGGGCTGTCCTGGGCAGGGTGCCTAAGAGGACAACTTAACTGTCGAGGCGTCTTTTCTGTGGAACCTCAGTCGTGACTGGAGAATCCACTCCTGAGCCTGGCCCTGCTCGAGACCCTGATTTTCTCAGAGAAGGAACTCAAAAAGTGCCCAGAGCTGGTGCTGGGGATGCCATTTGGTGGTCTGGGAGTTGCTGATTGCTTTCTCTGTCACAAAGCCTTTGATTTCCATCGGCTCATGTGTACACATGTGGGTATTCTTGGTGGCCTGACCATTGAGCATAATTAAAAGAAATGATTGGCTTTCTCTTGATGCAAACATCTGGTTTTACTTGAAACAAGATGACTTAGCTGTTTCAGAAACATTCTTGTAACCCTGGATTCACATTTTCTTCTTAAAATATATATTTTCTCTGTTAGGGCAGCATGTTAATGTAAACACTCCGTGTAACTGACAACCGACAGTTTCAGAGCGTGTGGGGCTCTAAGCACTGGAGGAACCGCAAGAATGATTGCGTTTTTGATTTGATCACTGGAAATCTGTTTCAACAGTCACTCTGATTTAAACAATTACTCTGATTTATACTCCAAACGCTGTAATTTGCAGAAAACGTAACCATGTGAGGACATTTTTCTAGAGTATGTCTTGGCAACTTTGTTTTGTTGTGATGTCATTCCTTCAGCTTCAAGGAAGTGCTAGGGAATCCAAGAAAGAAAACGGGGCCTTTTCTTTCTGATGGGCTTTCTGGCCACCAGGGGGAATATTCTCAAGTCTTACCACTCCCGGCCCCTGAGGCCAACTCTGCTGGGCTAAGAATGCCATCCAGGACAGAAGGAGACCCCAGGTTTCCCAAAGGTCAAAGAGTTAAGGACCAGGAGTAGGGTGATTGGTTGTGTAGCCACTCCCACCATCTACGGTTAAGGAGGGCAGGTGGGAAACCTCTTCTTGCACCAAGTTCATTCTTCAAAGCCCAGGTTGGCAGAGCTAGAAGACGGACAGGAGGTTTAATACCTTCACTGCCCAGAAAGGAAGATCCAGAGAGGGAAAGAACACCACCCAGGTTCTAGAGCAAGTGTCAGAGCCAAGGGAAGAACTAGGTCCTTGGGTTTCTGATTCATGGCAAGATTGAATTGTAGGCATGGAATGGCAAGTTGGTTCCATTTTATGTATGGAGAATGTGTCTCAGTAAAATGAGAATACAATTGTCATAAATGAAAAAAATTAAGCAGCCCATGTTTTGTAGGGTGCAGCTTCAGAGAGCTAGTACTCAAAGTATTAGCTCTGTTTATCCACCCCACACCGCACCCGCCCGCAACACCACAGCCAACTACCGCAGCTGGTCAGTGCTGCTGGAGAAAGAGCCACGGAGGGCAATTCCCGGTGGCCTTGCTCTGCCTGCTGGCTTGGTGACAGCTCAACCGCCATAGGCACTGAAGGTGCTTGTTATATGAGGTAGCATCATGCCTATGGGGATGGCACCAAGACCCTTGATGGTGCTGGGGTGCCCAGCCTCTCTAACGGCATCTTCCTAGACCATCTGCTATGGATTAAATGTTTTGTCTCCTCCAAATTCATATTTTGAATCCTCAGTGTAATAGTATTTGGAGGTGGGGCCTTTGGGAGGTAATTAGCTTCAGATGAGGTCATGAGAGTAGGGCCCCCACAATGGAATTAGTGCCCTTATAAGAAGTTGAAGAGACCCGATGCCTGTCTCCCTCCTCCCTCCATGCCACCCCTTCTCTCCTCCACATGAGGATATAGGAAGAAAGCAGCTGCTTGCCAACCAGGACCTTCACCAGAACCTGACAAGGCTGGCACCCTGATCTCAGACTTCCCGTGTCCAGAACTGTAGGAAATAAATTTCTGTTGTTTAAGCCACCCAGTTTATGGTATTTTGTTATAGCAGCCTGAGCTAGGACACCATCTGTCTCCAACCTAGCCCTAGCCCAGGAAGTAGATGATTCTCTTTAAAGTTCATCTCCTTGATAGCTGTAGGCTTAGTTTTTCAGCAACTCCTTAAAATCACTTATGTGGCTCTTATCACTGAGGAGCTGTAGGATATGACAAGTTCCATCTCCACCTAGAATCTGCTGTGTGATCAAGAAGGGGTCTGATCCTTGGCCATGCCCCAGTGTCCTCTCAGTTAAATGAGGGATCAGACCACCAAGTGCTGAAGTCTCTTCCAGCTCCACTACTCTTTGGATCTGTGACTCTATCATTTTTGTTTATATGCTTTTCTTATTTAAACAGTGATACAGGCTAATGGTGGACAGTTTTTCCCACTTGAACCACATACTCTTTGAGGTGTGAAGTTCATCATGTGTGTCACCCCTCCCACAGAGCCTGGAATGGGGACCTTCAGCCAAAGGCATGCTCACAGCCTGCCACTCCTCTTGGGACTGTCCTGATGACACTAGCAAAGACTGTTGTGTGCTTCTGAACTATGTTGGTGTATGTAGCTCTTGCACGATGAATGGGAGCCTACAAATACTCAGTTCCTAGTACAAGAGTCAGAGCACAGCTGGATCTCAAAGATGGTTTGCTAAACAGCCCTGGATTGGCTATTTGACCAATATGTCCTGCAGTAATAAGTTCATCCATGCTAACCACACTGATGAAATTGTTCTTTCTTTATTTTCCTAAAACTGATCTGATATTCCACATGAGCTCCCACACACAGGGTGGTGAAAGAAGAAATAAAACTAAATTTTGGTCCAATTGAATAATTTCAAACTGATTCCAGCTCTCTTGTCTTCTCCTTTCTCTTACTCCATATGGCATTTGGGTGTGGGAAGAGGGAATACTATGTTCTCAGATCCCTCAGGCGTTGATGACCCTCCAATTTCTGAGGCAGTGTCCTTTGGTCTGGTCACTGCTTGCCTTGCTGTCTTTGATGGCTGAGGTCAGCAGCCGGTGAGACATGTGACTTTACTTCTCTATCCTCAGTTGCCCTGCTTGGCTGACTCAGGGTCTGCTGCATCCTACGTCTGACTCTGACCTGAGAGGTCTCTGCAGTGGGTCATTATTCCGCCTGCCATGGCGATCCATGCAGACACTCTGGCTCCCAATGCAGTGGCCATACAAACCCCCCTTGGAGGGCCTGTGGGAATGTCTGGGTCCCAGACACGCCAAAAGGAAACTGAAAATGGCTCAGAAAAGGTAACTCAAGCTTGGTCTTCCCTTGGCTCTAGTACGCTTCACAATTAACTTTACTTTGGTGTGGTTGCTGCCATGTTGGTACAGGAATAGACTTTGAAGTGAAATTAACCCAGAGTCCCAACTGGGAACCAGGACAGGAGACGCTTCTGGCTTTCCCTCCGATTATTCAACATATTGGAGCCTCTTATCTCACTCCCTGTCTCTTCTGCTTGTTCCCCCTTCTCCTCCTAATCCCTCAGGACTGGGAGGGGTGAACTCCTAGCTTTTCCTTCCTCTGTATATTATCCTCTTCCTGAATTTGACAGCAAGTCTCATGGCCTGTATACACTGTAGAAAAAAATTCCATAGTCTGAATTTCTTCAATTGCTACGTGAGTCACTCTCAAATTTACACTTATCTTCTGCCTGAATCTCTATCTATTGATCTGTCTGTCTGCCTGAATTGTTTTCTCTGTCTTTACACTTGGATATCTAATAAGAAGCTCAACCTTAGCATAATCAACACTGTAACTGTTTGGCTGCCCTGTCCCCGTATCTGTCCCCTATTCCAAGCATTTTTCATTTTGGTGACTAGAACTGCCATCTACTCAGTTGCCCAGACCACAGATTTTAGAGTCATTTTTGACTCTTCTTTCTCTCACATTCCCACGTCTAATCCATCAGAAAATCCCATTGGCTCTAACTTCAAAATATATCTTGGACCCAAAACATTTCTCATCATCTCCATGGTTACCATCAGCATCTACGCTACCATTTCTCCCACTTGGGCCATGGCTACAGTCTCCTAACTGGGATTCCTTCTTCTACTTGTGTCCCCATAGAGCAGAGTTTCTTATCTGGGGGTGATTTTGTCCCCCTGGGGGTACATTTTGCCATGTTTAGAAATACTTTTGGCTGTCTCTACTGGAAGGTGGGAGGGTGCTACTGGCATCTAGTGGAGAGAAGCCAGGATGCTGCTAGCAGTTCCGTAAGATACAGGACAGCTCCCCACAACCAAGAATTGCCTGGAGGCTTCCCTGGTGGCACAGTGGTTAAGAATCCACCTGCCAATGCAGGGGACACTGGTTTGAGCCCTGGTCTGGGAAGATCCTATGTGCCACGCAACTAAGCCTGTGTGCCACAACTACTGAGCCTGCGCACTACAGCCCGCGAGCTACAACTACTGAGCCTGCGAGCCACAACTAACTACTGAAGCCCACACACCTAGAACCCATGCTCCGCAACAAGAGAAACCACTGCAGTGAGAGCCCGTGCACCGCAATGAAGAGTAGCCCCCGCTTGCTGCAAGTAGAGAAAGCCCGCACGCAGCAACAAAGACCCAACACAGCCAAAAATAAATAAATAAAACAAATTTATTAGGAAAAAAAAAAAAGAATTACCTGGCCCAATATTTCAACAGTGGCAAGGTTGAAAAACCCTGCCAGTCTCCCAACATAGTAGTCAGGGTGGTCTTTCTTAAGTATAAATTAAATTGTGTCACGCCCGTGCTTAAAACAGTGTGGCTTGCTAGTGTAATAAGAACAAAATTTAAATTATTTATTCTAGTTTCGAAGGCCCCATAGGACCTACCCTCTTTAGACCTCCCCTGTTTCCTATTTCTCCATTCTGCTCATTTACAATCCTCCAGCAGCAATGATCCTTCGTCTTTCTCTCCAATTTCCTGAACACATTCCTGTCTCAGGGCCTTTGCACTTGCTGTTACTTCTGTGTTCTCTAGATTTTGCTTGGTTGCTATGTCATCACTCAGGTCTCAGGTTAAATGTCCCCTCCTCAATCAGTCTTTCCTGACTTCCCTGAGGACCACAGGCCCTCTACCCACCCCTGCAAAACAGACAGACACATCACATTACCCAATGTTATCTTCTTAGTATTGATCAATATCTGATATTGTATTACGTTAGTTTATTTGTGGTCTGTCCCCCCTAAGTTTCTTGAGGATGAGGCTATTTTTCTAGAATGGACAGAGAAGGGCTCAGTAGATATTGATGACTGCATGCCTGACTGATTGTCAGTATGTTGAATAGAACCTAAAGAGATTTAGAACATCTTTTCTCTCTAGTCAGTGCCTAGCTTTCAGGCCTATTGTCTTACTGTGAAATCGTATTTCAATAATATGAGCTGAATATTAACTCTTTTTCTATGCATTCCTGCTATACCATTACTAGCCACCCCATACCACTCCACCCAACTAATATATACCTTAGCTGGTTAAGGACTAGGTCATGCTCAGGGGAATACAAAAGAGAAAAAGTATTACTCTTACAAATATAAACAAAGTGTTCAATCTATTATTAAAAAATCCTCCACTTCTTCTAGGAGGCAAACCCCATCCCCCTCTTTCCTCCCAGTGGGTAACAGGATGGGCCCCAGCTGGTTGCCTTTTTGCTCTGGTCTTGGTAACTGAACGTCTTTCAGTTGCTCCCTTCCCTACAGCACAAACCTAAGGCTTTACCTAAAGCTTTATCCAGCATTTCCTAAGGCTATTTCTACTTTGGTGAAGAGAATGCGTTCCCTTGCACAGTAGGAGAGGAGGCTAAAATGCAGAAGTGCTGGATTCTCAGGAGCCGTTTCAAATACTAGACCCCCTTTTGCCAGTGTAGAAGCTGCCGAGATTTCACAGACCCAGGAGGTGAGGTCGTGGGAGTGTGCCTTTTGTGCATGAGTGCGTATCGTGTGCACAGATCTGCATGCGTGCATCAGGTGTATATCTGTGCTTGTGACATCCCAGAGGTCACAAGATCAAAAATGGGAAAGGATATTTTGTGTCTCGGCCCACGGAAGAGTAGTGGGAAGAGTGTATTCATGTCATTAATCTAGCATTAGCCACAGGAGTTAGTAGCATTTGGCTAGATGACAGCTATTTACAGTTTTTCATCATTTATTTGCAAATGACCTGGGTTCAAATCCATTTAGTAGTTTGATTTGGAAAAGTTACTTAATGCTTCAGATCCTCAGTTTTTTGATCTGTAAATTGTAGCTGATAATTCATTTATGATGGTCCAGAAAGTACCAAAGCTCAGTCTCCACCATAATAAGACATCTCTCTCCTGCCCTCCCCTTGCTGGCTAACAAACACATCTGCTGTTCTTGCCTGAAAGTTATGGCGTCTTTATTACCCAGATTGGGGGATGTGGGTGAGGGGAAAACATGGGGGCTTATAGGATGTCCACTGCAAAGGGCAGGGTGCTGCTGAAGGACAGGGGCCCAGCCAGAAAAGGGAAGTGGGGCAGGAGTTGGAGCCTGTGCTCGCTTAGTTGGGAGCCTTCGTTTTCTTACCCATTAGGGATGAGGGAAGAGAGAGGATTGGGGACATCTGTCAAGCATGTGAAACAGGTGGTAAGAGAAGGAACTAGGGAAAGACGATCTTTGAGAAGATTCTCTCTGTTAGGATGGTGATGCCACTTTGCTATTTCCTTGAGGGACTACAGTGCTGATTGAGTCGGTTCTTCTATCCCTTTGATGTCTCCACAGAGTTTCCTTTGAGTGTGGCATCATGCTGAGACAATTCTTTCAAAAGCAGAACCAGAAAACCAGACTTTGTTCAAGTTAGAACCAATTTGCACTGTTGTTGTGAGGATTAAATGTGATTTTTGTGTGTAAGTCTTCAGCACAGAGTCTGGTAAATATTAAGCACTAAATAAAATGTAGCTCTAATTAACATGCTAATCACAGTCTTATCTCTCAAAGACTAACTTGACTCTCAAGAGTTCGCAATCTCTTTTACGTAGCCCTTAAGACCATTTGCCACTGTGTTACCTGTTGTGGATTTTCCCTTGATAACTCCTACCCCAGGCTCAGAGCTGCTTATGAAACTAAGACTAACTTCTGAAGGTCACTTTAACATCCAGAGAAATGGGGCTCAGCTTGAAGGATACCTTAGTGATAACTGGGTATCACAAAGGATAGATCCTTCGGAAGTATCTTTGGGCAGCAAGGGAGTGACAATTGTAATGGGGAGTTGACGGGTTGGTTGGGTTCCCAGTCATAGGGCCGCTATAGCCTGGTGAGGGGTCCCAAGAATGCCAGCCAAAGCCCCTTCCCTCTGCCCACTCACCTCACTCCTCCCCAGTACTGAACTCTAATAAGGCCCAAGCTTGCTCTGTGGCTCTGGGACCGTGATTTAGTTCTTCCCAATCCCACACGCTCGGGGTCAACAAGGCATAAGGCAGGTGTGGCCGACTTTTAAAGAGAAATCGCGATGGCCCCAGGACCTACACAGTGTCTGGCCCAGTGGAAGCACGCTTTACCATGTTGTGACCGGAAGGTGGAGAGAGGCTTTCCCCAGCCGTTGGCTACCTTTCTCCCCACTGCAGTGCTCACTCTCTGCAACCCCCCTTTCACTTAAAGCCCCCCTTCAGGCGCCTGCTGCCTTGTTCTCACCTTGTTCTTTATGTGCTGGTCTCAACTGTCCATTCATCACCAGGGCAGGACGTCCATCTCTTTTCATCGGAAGTAGTTTCACAGGGGGGTGAAGAGTACAGACACAAGTGCCAGATGCTTAGAGTAGAATTCCAGCTTCACAACTTACAAACTGGTGACCCTGAGCTAGTTAATCTTTTCATGTCTCCACATCCTTATCTGTGAAATGGGGATACTGATAATGTCTGTCCTGTAGAGTTGCCACAAGCTTAAATGAGATAATATGTATTTAACTCTGCCTGGCATGTAGTGATCGCTGTGTAAGTTTTGTGGGGGTAATGATGGTGACGATGATCATGGTTACGATGATGCTGGTGGTGGTGATGGAGGTTGTAGTGATGACGGCGATGGTGGTGGTGATGATGGGTACATCTGCTCACTGAAGCATTAACATAAACTCTTCCTCTGCCATTACAAAGGGCAAGTGAGTATTCCTAGGCTGGCCTCATACCTGGGCAAGGATGACAGTCAACCTCTCACGTGATGTCAGCAGGTACAGAGGGTCCTGCCCTCCTCTGCTGCCTGACAGCTCCTCCCCTATTCTAGGGATAGTAGATGTTAGCGGGAAGATTTCTGGGCAAGATTGCAGTAACTTCTCCCCCATCTATTTCTGGCTATGCTTTTGGGGTGAGATTGAGCACGCTGGTTCCTGATGTTACGTGGACTCAAGAGTATGAGCTCCTTGAGTTCAGGGCAGAGACGTGATGCTGTTTATCTCTGTGTCTCCAATCCCAGTGAGTCCCGGAGTGGTGCTCTATATAGACTGCATGGATGGATGGATGGATGGATGGGTGGGTGGATATGTAATGAAAGATGAACAATTAGCAATTTTTCAGGGCATTTGTTGGCCGCCTGCAAGGTGAATGATGTTTGGCCCCTCTCCCTGATATCTGCCCCCTGAGGGATGTCTCTGGGGACAGGAAAGGTTGAAAAGAGAACAAAAGGAGAATCTGGGAGGGGGCCATAGGGCCATGCTGGGCCATGGTCAGTATTCCATGACTGATTGGGCAGTGAATAGATTTGAAGAAATGAAAGTGTTCTTGGAGAATTATGATGCTGCTGACAGGTGCCTCCACGGATGCCCAGGTCTGCCCCTTGTCCAAAGAGACTCGGATGCGCAGGGTGTGGGACCTGCCTTCGGGGGTTGCCCATTTTGGGGAGGAGTCTCATCGTGAACATGTGAAAAGTAAAGCTTCATTCTAAGCTTTCGGCTCAGTTGAGGGTTATTTGATCATAAGAAACAAAAACAAAAACTACTCAAATGAGCTTAAGCAAAACAGGAGGATAAACAGTAAGCAGAGGGAGGGGCTGAGAGCACTGCCAGGCTTCACGGAGTCTGGAGAGTCTCCAAGGGGTGCTT